TATATAAAACTGTTGAACGTCGTGGCAAATTTAAAAGAACAGGTAACTATACTGGCTTGTCACAGACCACATTTCCCCCAGTCTTCGGCAGAGATGCTGATCTTCAGAGCAGGCCAAACAAAAGCTGGATGTTACGTTTCTGAAACATTTTGTGAATTAAAGCCAATATTAAAGTGTGTCGTGTTATTCGCATACCCGTGACCAGAAATCACTTGTAAACCTCGACAAATGACTCTATTTACACAGCAAAGACTGAGGGCAGTTGACTGTGACAGGCAAACTGGTTTTTATGAGTAAAACTGGAAGTTCATTTCACAACAAGAATAACACTGTGCTGTGCTGCACAGATATTCAGCCACTTACACTTTTATCCTTCAGCTCTGCTTGACATGCCTGACAGAACCTGAAACCAAACCACAACAGTATAAGACATTCAGTGAAACACCATCTGCATCTCAATGTGAGAGTAGATCACAGCTACCTGTCTCCTTGGAGGTTCTCCACTGGACTCTCTACAAAAGCTTGGAGGGGGAAGAGGTGGTGAAAGGATCTGGCGAGATGGGGGGCCGACACCAGAGTCAAACCTTGGAGATAAAACAGCACATAGGCCAGTCAACACACAACAACAAAAATATTTTTTTTCCATCTAATCCTTTAACTGAACAGTTACACATACGCAACACATACCACACACTTTACACTCCACGGGAAGCTCAGTGTAAGTGGCGTGGCACTGTGGACAGAAATATCCTCCCAGAGACAGACCTGGACCACTGCTGCTGTCCAGATGACTGGACAAACACAAAGACGAGCGTCAAAACAAATATTGATTTTAACCTGCAGTCTTAGCCATGTGGTTAATTGCACTGCTTTCTACTCACGACATGCTGAACGACGGCTTGGCATCCTGGTCAGTCACAGAGGCAATGGTATGCTGAGGAAAACCTGAGCAAACACAAGGTTCACATCAAGTGGATTCAGTGAGAATGACTTACTTTTTTTCTCCAAATCTTGGTTCTGTTTCAAAGGAATCATTTCAAAACGTCACCACAAGAAATAGCTATCAGAAACTCTGAAGGATTTCAACACTAATCTAACCATGAACAGCAACTTTCACAAGAGCTTAGAAGAAGCATTATACAGACACACAAAGCCACAAAAGCATACAAACACAATTCTAAAGACCTAAAGGTTCATCAGCACATAATAAGATCAACAGTTTACAGATGACACAGAAATAACCACTGCTTTATTTTGAAGGAAAACATCTCCAAAGTCTAGCAGCTGAAAGTGAGTCAGATTTGCTGATGCAGTGAGGGAATAAAACAAAGCAGAACACTACTTAAGAATCACCAGAGCAGCAGCAAGCACTGAAGCTTAACAGAACAAAGCTTCTGTGTTTAGACCTGCTGACAGCATGTACCCACACTGTACCCTGGACAGTTGGACAAGTGCGTTACTTTTACTTGTGGCCTCAGTATTGGACGCAACGTATATAAAGAGCTTAAGTATATGAGAAGGTGAACGTGACACTTCCAGTGATTACTTGGGGTTCACCAGTGTCACTGGTTTAGTTCCATTGTTTTTATTAATAACTTTGATCCACAAGGAAATCCTACTAATTCCAAAGGCTTTTGCTGCAGCTGTAGGTAAGTGACGGGAGAGGAGCTGACTGAATACCAAGAGATGGAGACGGCGTCAGCATACTCACCCATGCGGATTAAAGAGCATTCAGAGGAGGAGCTGGCAGGAGGTGGTTTGATGTGAAGCATCAGCAGCTCTTTGAAGTGACTCTCATCCAAGATCACGTGGTACGAGCCGCCTGTCTCTCTCGTCAACACTGTACATACCCGGACCTCTGCTGACAGACCGATGACAGACACCCGCACCTTCAGGGACTTCAGGGTCTGACAGAGGAGATGGAGCACAGAGCTGTCTCTGGACCTGAGCTAACTTGTCTTTAAGATAATAAATGGACTGATGACTCTCAGCACAAAAAACAGAGTGGCTTCACCTTGATCAGCTCATAGATGTTGGCTGGGTCACATGTAGTGAGACTACTGAGGATGATCAGGATCTCCCGGCTCGTATGTCCAGGCATGTGCCTTCACACAGAGGCAAACAGCAGCTCAATGACGTCTCACTACAGAAGCTAATCAAAAACAATGACTCTGCTAAACCTACTTGAGGGTTTGTATGGCCAGGTTGAGGGAATTGTAGAGGGACGGCTCTCCTACGCAAACAGTGTCCACAGCTTTTTTCAGAGCAGTGATGTGCTTCTTTGGATTCCCTGGTGATGCCGTGAAACAACACACACCCACACAGTACATTTGCATTACAGAACAGATGACGTGAGGTTTAAAAAAACAAAAAACAAAACAAAAAACTAACACTGGCACACTGACGCTAATTTAAAAAAAAAAGAAAAAAAGAAAAAGGTTTAGTGGCAAATCAAAAAACATTGGTTCAAAGAGACCAAATCAGAGATACCTGCCAGATCAGTCAGCTTCTCAGCCCTTTTGTTCTTTGTGGTGATAATACCAACCTACAAAACAAAACACAGCACAACTCACTTACTAGCAGTCACTGATTAGTCTCTGGAAGTTTGCTGAACATCCACACACAGCCGAGTGTAACCCAGCAGCAACCTGGGGCCAATGCTGAAACTCTGGCACCTCCAGTGGACCCGTAAGGCTGGCTTCGAAAGCAAAACCCGACATATACAGATTAGAAAGCATGTTTACAACCCGGTCGACCTTCACGGACAGGACGTCTCTCCATTAGAACTGCATGTTGGGCCATTTCCACCAGGGTCTGTCACCCTCACTAATCTAAGACACCCAATTTTCTTTGTGCATTTTTATAAAATTATCAGGCGTTGCTTTGTAGTAGCATGAAGTCTGTGCTCCAGGCTGGCAAATCAAACTTTTTTTTGTCTGTCACACATCAGCAGGCGTATAAGCTGAGCAGCCCAGCCTTAGAGGAAGCATGAGGAATTCAGTAGTTTAGGAGGAGCTAAGAGTCAAAGGGAAACTAACTGGATTGGGCATCTGAGTAAAAGTATGAAACCAGGGTGTGTTTGTATACAGTGACAAGGGGCAGAATATGACTTAATATGACTTATGGCATACCTGGCTGATGGGATTTTGGTCAAAATATTCATCAACAAATACTTCCATGAGCTGAGGAGGAAAGAAGAGATGAGATAGTTAGCAGACAATCACACCGTGTAGCTGCTGGTGTCCAGGGAGACAGCTCTGCTTTACCTTGAGAGTAGAGGTGAGGCGGTTTGGTTTTAAGTCCTGGTCTTCCATACTACGCGAACAGTCAATCACCACATACACGTGACGCATCTGAAGTACAAAACAACCTTTAACAGCTTAACCTTCTTTTTCAAATTTTTCAAAAAATAGATGTTATGCACAATATTAACCAGCAGGTATGTTGGGCTACAAATATAGAATGTGCAGCAGATCCTATATTGACATGAGAGCTCAGAGACCTTGGCTTTGTGCTACGACAGGAAACTTCTCATTCATTTCAGGTTTATTTATAGAGCACCAAATCACATCAACAGTCACTTCAAGGTTTTAAACTGAATAGTAAAGATCCAGCAGCATTCTACAAACACATGATATTATACAGATATACACACAACTACTCACATATTTAGAATAATTAGTTAACTGTGTGTAAATTTTATATGCTTTATTTCAGAGTACTAAAACAGCACTCCACTTCAATAACAAACCACAAAAAGTCTTACGCATGTGGGAAACACAAGGCTCTGCACAACTCACCATTCCAAGCCTCACTTGCCCATGGCTCTCTATCACCCTGTGCAGCAAAGAAAGCATGAGATGAGGAGCAGGAGAAGACACAAGAATTTTCATCATGGGATGGATAGACAGACAGACACAAACACGCACACCTTTTCCGTTTGGACTGGTACAGAATCTCTTCCACTGTGGCTTTGAGTGAGCCTGACTCGTCCTCCTTCAGCACCTCCCTGAGGATGAAACATATTCCACAATAATCCAGGGTATGACGACACACAGCTCAAGCTGCAGATGCACATGGCTGAGCAGTCTCACCATGTCCTCTCATAGCCCCCTTCCCAGCGCTTGGCTCTCTCTGGTTCTTCATCCATTGTGTTTGGCGGCCAGAAATTCAACAGACGCTCCCAGCCAAATCACTGCCAAACCAAGTACACACATTCGGTACTACAGACTCACAATAACTCATGACACGCTGCATTAAGGATAGGACGTATGGCCACATCTCGGTTATTGCTCATTCTGCATTTAACCCATGTGCCTTGCTTAGAAGCACAGTGGCAGTTATCGATTACTGTAGATTACCTCGGTGACTAGCTACCTTCTAGGAAGTTGGCGGTAAATAAAAACAGGTTAATAAAAACACAAACTGAAGCGAGGCGGCCATGTCAAAAACCCCATCATCAGACCAAACAGCACCTTTACGTACGGGTCGTTATCAGCGCCACAGACCTGCCTGTAAGTAGAGTCAAACTAACAATGTTGTAAGTGCAGTCCGCTGAGCCACAGCTCATAGCCCTCCATGTTCTTCCAGGACAGCGTGAGGCTGACACTGGGTTCGCTGACCTTACAGTGAGAGAAGCGACAGATGAAGTCGGGTTTTGAAATGAACTTACACTTTCCACCACCAACGAATTACTCCAGCTCGCCGACTCTATTCCGCCTGCTAGCTAGCTAGCTAAAAGTCCTGATAAATCAGTGATTCTCATGCAGTTCAAACAACAAGCATGATGCGGGACTCATATCATGCAGTTACACAGGACTATGATTTTAAACACCTTATAACTTACTATACTAACTAAACAATAAATATAAACACTCACCAACTCTGACTGTACTGTAACGCAAGCTGTGCAACAAGACTTTTCCTCCGGATGGAAACGGGCAAAGAAGAGAAAGGATCCGGGGACATACTATTTATTATTATCGTAGCATGATGGCCGCGGCATTTTAATGAAAGTTTACACAGTGTCATATACAAACAAATAGCTTTGTGATTTTACATCATACTGTACATATCAGGGAGAGTGCAAAAATCAGTGGGAAAACAAAAAAAATGACAATGCTTAATGGTAGTTTAATGCAGTACATGGCAATTGTTAGAAGTTATTAGCGCCCAGATCCATGAACATTTATGCTATGTGCTAATAACATAAGCTCTGCGCCCATACTAAACAGAGTTTTCCTTTATATCCATCATGCCAAGGTAATAAAGTATAGAAAAGTTTACTTCAGAACAATCGAAAGAATAAAAATAAACATTTACAAGAGCACATGCACAGCTACTCCGATACCGAAAAAAATTATAGGTCTCATCTTAACTGTGCCCACACTTATGCAAAACATTTCGGATCACAAGAGAAAAACAATAAAGTCTATAAACCTTACTTGTTTTTCAAAATGTTACTTGTGGAACTGAGAGGTAAAAAAAAAAAAAAAAGAAAAGAAAAAAAAATCCACATTTTATTTATCCTTTTGTTGTAGAAAAACTTGATTGGCTTATAAAAATGCATTTCATAGGCAAGAGCATCACTATAATAATCATACACGAGTTCATCATAAACTGGAGAGTTCAGTTCATAGACAGGGTCTTGGGTTGAAGGTTCAGGGTCGACGGTCATATTCACTGATCTTTCTCTTGATGTGCGACAGTTTGGATCTGAGATATTTACACCTCTTCTTCTTAATCTGGTACTCTGATGACTGTGGACAATACATAAGAAAGGTATTGTTGTTTGAATTCTTTACACACAAATTTCACTGCTGAGAATGTGAATAATAACCTTACCTTCTTGAAGTCCTTCAGCCTGTTATAGTCACTCAAGGCATCCTGAGATCAGATTACATATATTAGTTGACTAAAGAAGTAAGCATTATCCCGAATTCTCACACAGAACTTTCTTTTATGCTAAAGTTTTCAAACCATTTCTAACACTTTATTACTGGCTTTATTATTTGATTTTGAGTAGAATTATTTGAATATAAGCAAACACATAATGGATTGCATTTTTATAGTGCTTTTCTAGGCACCCAAAGCGCTTTACAATTCCACTATTCATTCACTCTCACATTCACACACTGCCACCAGTGTGTGAATGTGCAAGCTACAGTTTTAGCTGTGCAAGCTACAGTTTTAGCCACAGCTGCCCTGGGGCAGACTGACAGAAGCGAGGCTGCCATATCGCGCCATCGGCGCCTCTGGCCAACACCAGTAGGCGGTAGGGTAAAGTGTCTTGCCCAAGGACACAACGACCAGGACAGAGAGAACAGGGGCATCGAACTGGCAACCTTCCAGTAGATGAGCTTCCCAATTCCCCTGAGCCACGGTCGCCCCAACATATCAGTCTTATAAAGTTTCCTATAAAATCAGCCACCTTGCATCTGCTGTTAAACTGTTGACAGTTAGAAGTTAAATTGTTGCCTTGCACTGCAACTTGTACATTCACAATGAAATTGAATACAATGTAAATTTCATCAGATTTAAAATTGTAGGATTAATTGATGGCAAGACTTTTTTGAACAGTCTTAAGGAATGGAGTCTAAAACAAAACAACCCCCCCATTTTGCTGGTTCAGAAAGTAAGGACTGAAGTTAACTCAGAAGGATCAATTCCAGTACTGAATTTTATGCCTGTGGCACATATTCCAGAATATGTGAATATTTTTTTTTATTTTTTTGGTTAAAACTTTATTTGTGAAAAAAATTCATGAAGTCATTACTAGTTAAGGTTAAAGAACTAGTCAGTTCAACAGAGATCTGACTTTTTGTCAGCCTGCCTAAAATAGGGTTGTTATTTTCTTTAATCTGAGATTAATAGTAAGATATTCTAGCTTTACAGGGTTCTTTTTGTTTTGTTTTTTGTTAAATAGAGCAGCAAACTCTTTTTCCAAGCTAAATGAAGATCTTCTAAATAAGTGACATGCCATTTCCTCTGTAACTTATGGGTTATCCGCTTTAAGGTGGACATGTGTGAGTCATTAAAAGGAGTCACCACTTCTGATTTGAGGCTTTTTTTCCAGAGGAGCTACAGTATCCAGAGTCATACGCAGTTAGAATGTAACACTATTAACAAGATAATCAACCTCTGTGGGAGTAGAGTTCAGGTAGCTCCTCTGCATTGTGCTGGCACATATCATTGAAGAAGATAACAGTGGAGGAATTATATCCTTACACTAAGTTACAGCACTTTCACAAAGACATCTACTGTGTAATATTGTAAATTTAAATATTATAAAGAAATGAACAGAAAAAAAAACAGGTTTTTCTGGGAAGAATGTTATATGTCATATGTAAGAAGAAGATCCAGAGTGTGCTTAAAGTGGTGGGTGGGCTCGTTTACATTTTGAGTGAAGCCAGTTGGCCCTAATTACAGTTTAAATGCTATGTCATTTTCAGTATCTACGTGGATGTTTAAAATAAATAACCCACTGTAAATATTTTATCTGAACTGAAATATAAATCACAGTCATTGTTAACTCATTTTGAGTGTTTGGTTTTTGTTAGATACTCATTAGGTCGCTGTTATTGTCTGAAAATTGTTTGTGTAGTTTTCATTGGTTTCTGTTTTAGATTTAGTTTTTTAAAATTATTATAATATGGTAATATGGAGAATACTTTTTAAAAAGTGCAGTTTTAATTTTTATTTCAGTTACTTGAAATGCCTTGTGTTGGTTAGGTTTAAAAACCTAGGGTACGGGGTGTGTGTGTGTGTGTGTGTGTGTGTAAACCGGCAACCTTCCGATTACAAGACTAATTGCCAACTCTTGAGCCACGATCGCCCCTTGAGTAAAGTAAGGGTGGACCAGCCACCTTCCCTTCAAAGAACCAGACAGATACTGCCGTCCTTACCATGAACTCTGGACTGCCATCAGAATGTCGGTCCAGTTCTCGGTCCAGGTCGGCCAGGTCCTGGTTTATGCCATCCAGCTCAGCCTGTAGGTTCTTGTATTCTTGGTGATCCCTATCAAACTCCTGTTTGTAGGCCAGACGCTCTTGCTCATCCAAAATGGGGGGAAACAAACTATACGCAAGAAGACAATTCAGTACATAACCAGTAAAACAAAAGAGATACGAATCAGTCAAGGTCAAAGACAAAGTTCTTTATTACCAGCTTTGATCTAGAAATAGCAGATTAATTGCAATCAGCTAATAACTGGCAATGGAATCACATGCACTCACACACTGAAATCTTCTTCCTCTAGGTCATCCCCAGATTCCACACCAGTGTCGTAGTCCCTCAGCCTGGGCTGCAGGCCTCCCACATAGCTGCTGATGTCAGAGTCTCTGCAAACAGGATTTACTGATTCATCAATTTTTGCAAAAGCCTTATAAGTATGCCATTAAAACAAACACACTTGAACCCTTGTAGTATACTTACAGAACCAACTGGTCTCAAATATGGTTAATATGGTTCCCCATTATCCTTCAGCACCTTAAACTTCAATACTTAAGGATGAGCTGACCCATCAGAGATGGATCACTGTGATCGAGTGCTACTACAGAGTTATGTGCACCTCTTCTCTTTGCACCAGACCTCATTTCAAATTTGGTACAGGGACACTGATCGTTTGTTGACCTGATTTGAACAGAAGTATCCCCGTCTGACCAGCTGGAGTTCCCTCTACACAGCACAGGAAACAGTTTCTGCAGCAGCTGAGATGTTCATCTTCGCAAAGTTGATAATGATGCACTTTTACACAGCCATGAAGAACAGTTTCTTATTGACCCACACTCACAAATAAATGTATCTTCATTGTACATTTCTATTTGAAATGTTATTTATTCTCTGTGTTTCAGTGAGTGTTTTTCATTACAGCACCAACAATACAAAACCCTTTTCTTGGGAATTTAGCGACGTTAAAAATATAATCAAAGAGGCTTTGGTGGTGGATTGTAAGTGTCATGGTCTGTGTGGAGTTATGTTCTCCCATGTCTGTTTGGGTACTGTGTGGGGCATTTTCAATTCGTCCCACAGTCCGAACACACAGATTGACCGTAGGTGTGGGTATGAATGTGAAAGTGAATGGCTGTCTGTCTCACTGTGTTAGCCCCATCATAAACTGGTGACTGTTCAGGGTCTACCCCTCCTCACCAGCTGGGATAGCTTCCAGGTGCCCCACCCAGAAGTCTCCAAGCCATTTTATTTTAGATGACCTTTGGTAGTTTACAGAGGGAAATTGTGTAACTAAGTCCATCCGGCCACAGTCCTGATCATGTGAGCCCCCCCCCAGAACATTTAGTCCTACAAAACTTCATTGGAATTTTACAAAAACAGACTGACAGTAATGCTGCATGTGCAAAAGGTCAGACACCCAAGGTAAGACGCTATCATGTTTTAACTAAAATTATACACTGTTCAGTCATTTCAGTAATTTATTATTCAAGAATAAAAACCCAATAGAGCTGCTAGCATCACTATATCTGTAAAAAAACAAACAAAACAAAAAAAAAAACCCAAACCCCCAATGCTTAATGATACCTTTTCATAACAATGAAGAACATGCTTACCCTGGTAGGTATAGAGGCTTGTTGTAGTCCAGCTGGTCTAAATAGTCTCTAGAGGCCCCAACTTTATCGTTATGGTCATTAACAAACACCTCTGGATCACCAGACACGTTGGTCACCTGAAGCAACAAACATAGTCAGCCTCAGAGTTTCTACAATGCCAGATTGAAATTAAAGGGACTTTTCAAAATGATGAGCAGTTTAAGGGTGAAAGTGGTAGCCACATGGCTCTACAAATATTTTGAGTTTAGGTTTAAGGTGAAAATACCACGATTATGTCAAAGATTTTTCACATCAATGAGTGTCGTCCCATATTGTTAATGAGAGTGCCTTATCATAACCTAATGAGATACTACTCTCATACTTGAGGTCATGGAAACCTGTTTCCTCCATATGAAGCAAGAAGCATCCGCAGGGACCAACCGGTTCCTCTACTTGTCCCTGTATGTCTGAATACCACAAATACCTTCACTATTGTCAACAAGAAGTCTCAGTCAGTGCCTTTCAACCAGCACACCTGATGAAATCTCAGGCCTAATGGTGCTGCTTGGAAAGTACACAGCTGAAATGAAAGCTACATGGCTATGGACATAATACTTAGATACACATTTTCCATTTTTATCACTACCATCGGAAGACAGGGAATAAATTAGTTAGTCTGAACATGTGAAAGATCTAATGAGTTAATGTTTAAAAGAATAAAAATATAACAGCATGCTGTTTCACTTTAGATGACATCACAGTGACACCACAGCACATCATGCTGAAACTGAGAGTGGCTAAACAGACCACACCCAGAAACTACAGGTGAAACCTCCTCTGCCCAGTGTCTCTCTCACCTGTCACGCACACACACGCGCGCACACGCGCGCACACACGCACACACACACACACACTAATTCTCAGCTTTTGTAACAAACAAGTTGTGTAATTTCTGAAGTAGTAGTAGTGGTTAGAATCTGCAGCCAATTACATGAATTATGCTCCTATGCATCTTTATTGCCATTTACAGTGCTGTTAGGATGTCCCAGACTGTTTTAATGTTCTTAACAGTCCGTTTAGAGATTACACAGATCACTTCACAAAACCAAGCATTCTGAATAGTGGATAAGAGCAGATAACACATTATCGCCCTGCAACTGACTTTAATGTTGCGGAAATTTTAAAGCCATCTGACACACCTTAGAGATGTAGCTCTTCACTGCAGATGTGTGTCATGTTTACAGTATTTAAAATATTCAAAAATATTCACAGAGAGTTGGAGACTGAGTGGGGAATTTGTTGAGCTGACCTGATATATTTACTTCGACCTTAATTTGACGGAATAAAGTTACGCTGCAGCTGATACAGGCTTTTGCTATTTAGTAAACAGGTAAATGCGATGCTGATGTCAACACAGTCACACACAGACTCACCCACTCCCCGACGCTGTTGTGGTGACCAACATTGACAACCTTGACTTCCTCCCAGAGAATGCGTTCTGGGCCCCAGCGCCTGATCTGTTGGCGAGTCTTGACCGCAAACACGAGCAGGATGATGAGGGCAACAAACACCAAAAAGCCCATAACCACAGCGATGGCCTGCAAGAAGCACAACCAAGATCATGGAGCTGAAGTAATACCAATTATCAGGGATATAAATGACAGGCAAGTTTCTCACATTTCCCTAAAAATCTCAATCTTATAACACCTGCCACCAAACAATGAGTTGGCCAAAGGACATTTGCAGGTACAAGTCTGCCATGAAACAATGATTCCAAATTCATGTAGAACAAACTGGGTTTCCAGTATCACTACATGTACAAGTTGGTTTCCAACGGCACACATGCTCAGTTCAGCTGATTGCTGCTTTAGTGCAAAAATGTGTAGAAACACACCCAATTCCTGATCACCAAAATGTATTCTGCTGCTCGAGATATCGCCTGCCCACAAGCGACAGTCAGTGACGCCGTTTCTGTCAGGGTTATGGTGATGTTTGCAGTTCTTACAGGTAACATTTAATGACGTCAATTTAACAAAAATAAGGCAAACAAACACTGGTGTTCAGTATTTTCCCCGATTTAGGAAATGTGAAAAGTTTGGAGCTCAATTGCACCAGTCCCTGAGTGCACCCAGAACAAGCTGATTTAATACTGAAAGAGGGGCACACACATTTCTCAGGTTTTTGTTGTTTCTTTTGCTTTTAATAACTTTAAAATAGACGAACACATAAACTTCCAATAAAATGAACATTTGCAGACTTTTCTCTTCCTGACACCACTCAGTTCTATTGCATTTTTCTTCTAGTCTTTTGAAGTCGTAATTTCATCTTCATGTGTCCATTAACTGTGAGTTTAATTTACTGCTGCCTCTCTGGCTGAAACTAAACAAACTCTCAGTATACACAGAGAAAGGAACTACACAGCAACCGCACATCCTGTGCCAAAGATCCAACCACACATTATTAGAGAAAAAGTGTCTCACCTCTTGGGGCTCCACCACGCAGTAATGGTACAGGTATTGGTTTAACAAGAGGCCCTGGGGCTGGACCTGGTTCTGGAACTGGGCACACATCTGTACTACCTGGTTGTAGTACATAGACCCCGTGGACTGTGCTGTTGGATTTATCGCCACCAGGTACACAATAGTGGCAATAATCATCAGGAATGCCAAGATGGCGCAGATAATGATTGATGCCAGGTAGAACTTTGATGAACGGGCAGTACCTTGCCTTGACACAACCATGATGAATATAATAAGCACAGCTATGAAGGTAATGGCAGAAATGGCAATGATAAAGCCTTTGCCAGATCTGGGATCCATTTGTGTTCCTCCATAGCCGGAATAGGAACCACCATATGCGCCACCATATGAGCCACCATACGAGCCACCATACGCACCCCCATAACCGGTTCCATATCCACTGCCATATGAGCCTGGTACGAGACCAGTTCCGCCCCCCATGAGACTCATTTCGTAATCCCAGGCCAGTGTGGAGGCCACACAGGCAAACACAGCCACACACATGATGATAATGATGATGCACATTATCTTCATCACACCAGGTGGTGAATTCCAGCGATAGAAGTGAAGCACCTTATTTCCAGAATAATAGGAAAATGCTGGGTTGGACATGACTTCACTGTGCCTGTGACTGGAACAGAGGAGAGAAGATGAGTTGTGGTCATTGTCAAGACATGGAAAAGCAAACACCAAGTACTGATATAAAAATAGCAAGGCTACCCCAAGAATAAGGTCTAATATTGTCAATGTTTTCATCACAAGGGCAACTTCTCATAATGGTGTGATCTACTTCACGTCATTGAAATGAACAGGTTATCACTTTGAAAAAGAAAATCCTCATGTCATCTAAAACCCAACTAAGCCAAAGCCTCATTGATGTCCATCACACATTTTCCAAAGGCTAAAGATGATTTAAAAAAAAGTTTATTAGGGATGGACGTGTTTGTCAAATAGTTAACAAGAACAACAACAAAAAAACTTGGTAGAACTCAAGTTTTTTTAAATACAACAAATTGTTTATACACTAATAAGCCAAAGATCTATGGTTTGAGCCCAAAAGGTGACACTAATGCTGTTTGGCATCTGATGTAAAAATCTAATCAAACGTGAATCGGCCCACTGCAGCAATGCCTTGTGAATACTGGAGCGCTGGAAAATGGCAACTATGAAAACTATGCCAACAGTCGGGTGACAATGAGAAATGGTGTGGGATTAGAAAGGCATAACTATTATTACCAATTGCCTGAATTTCATCACATAACCTTTTACGGTCTTCTGATGCCTATATTGAAGCTTTTTTAAACGTATTACTGGCAATTTAAAAACAAGCAAACGCTTGCTCAAAAATGATGAAATTTGTCACTTTTGTTATGTGAAAATCCTTTAAACCTTACATTAATTTAAAATCATTGAATTCTGAGGCTTTTCTTCGAACATGTCTACATTTCCAGAGGTTTATTTACCATAAATACTACACTGAGCTTAAGTCAGCTGAGTCCATAAATGACTAGATGAAGCAGGTGTCTGTGCGTAGTGAATGATAAAGGGAATTCAGCTTACCGTTTTTTGCCACTGTGGTTGCTGTGTTTGTTGCTCGGCATACTTAAGGTCAACTTCCACTCACTCTAGTAGGACAACACACAAGAAGCAATGAGCATTCAAAAGCTTTTGTATAATGTCATGTGTCAGACTAGTTTTCCTGCAGAGGCACATACCAGCTCTCAGCCTTTTGTTACAAGTGTGTTTGTGCAGATTTCCTAGCTCACATGATTTCTTTGTTTTTCTTGTCTAAGGCAACTGAATCAATTATGTGATACATACTTTTCAAAAGTCAACACTTCAAATTGCGTTTGATTTTCTGAAATGTGGGGCTAGGAATGATTAGAAATGATTGGCACTAATATTCATGAAGTGCCTTACTCTGACGCTTTGTTAAAAATGATATATTTTATGGCAATCTCAAACGATGAATGCGAAAATCTAACAAACTAGTGACGTATCAGGGGACCAATGTCTGGCTATGGAAAGCACTATGATGGAAAACAGCGCCTGTGTTTATGAGGAAACCTGTTAATATGGTGGCCATTTCAGATTAAAAGCAGCTGTCTGAGCAGATAACACTGATCCATTCCATCACCTGTAAACTGACTTTAACATCAATGCTCATCTCTTCTACTTCAACCTGTCCGTAAACTCTAGTTACACCTTTAAGGGGGACCTACCTGTGTGATGATCGGCGTCCTGCTGATGAACACAATACACACTCACTCAAATACGAACGCAAACACTGTGCTCGCGACCGCCTCCATCCACAGCGCGCACTCAGGTAGCAACGAGACGCGCATATAGGCGTGTGCTCGTCACGTGGTCGCCTCCTCCTTGAAACAGGACTAACCTGTCCTCAGTGCCTGCATCTTCTGGAAACAGGCAGAAGATGCGTGTACTCTTCCAGGAACTGGTTGAGCTTTATTTCCAGTCCACGCACAGATTGCTCTTAATACTTTTAATCATTCATACAGAAAACCAGATTATAAACAAATGAACCCTCAATCTGCTCCACTTAAAATAACAAACATAATCTCTTTTGAACATCTATTTATCCCGCAATTTCGACAAAAAGCAGGGTTACTATCAAGAAATGCGAATCCCGACGTGCCAGACTTGATCTCTGTTAAAATGTATACAGCTCGTGCACTAATTCGATGTACCTGAAATCTGAGCCGATGTCCCCATCCCGTCTTCCTACTGTTGTGAAACTTGGTGGGACAAACAGTAACCTGTCAAACCTGTCCTGCAGGTAGAGCTTCTGCTGAGTGCGTGAGTCCAGCAGCCACCTTGATCCCTGCATCAGTAGACCACTTCTAGTAGCCCGCATGTTTCTTTGCTTTTTGGACAGTTTCTAGCAGACACACCCTGAGGAAATGTTCTATTCCTTTACCCATTTATCAGTGTCACTGCTGTCTTTGTATTCATTTTCATTTATACAAATACTCCTACTGAACACATGAATGCAGAAAAACTCTTTGTTCAAAGTCCATTTTAAATTTGGTGTGAGTGACAATACTGAGTTTTTCAGGAACAGCTGCTGCAGGAAAATGTCGCTGCGTCTGCTGTTCTTGGATAGCTGTTAGTTTATTCATCAGAGTATCTGCAAAATTAAAACCCCTGGAAGCAGAACTTATTACCAATCTTTCAATGGGCACCGTTTCAGGTAGGGGCATGGGAGTTGGCATAAGGATTTTTGGCACCAAGAGTCATATTGTGTTCCTTGAACAGAGTGGTCAGCTTTAAAGGTTTTCCCATGAAATGAACAGTGAGTAGAAAACAACAACCTGGCACTAAAGGAAGGCACTGCAGCACACATTGATAGAAACAAAAAACTTTAATGATGGTTACAAAAGAAAGGTACCAGAAGACAGCTTGTTGTTCATGGAGCTGTGTGGTCGGAGACAGGTCAGAGTTCAAATAGTCAACTGATTCAAGGTTCTGCTGGGAAACTTTAATGTCCTGTGATACGTTCCCTACCTCCCCATCTCGCTTTAACTTCAAGCACCTAAAAGATCTCTTGTGGAGAATCTGTTCATCATGTGGACTGACCATACCAACCATTGCACCACCATGTCAGCCAATTTTAAACACATATTTACTATGGCAAAGTTGTACAAATCACAAAGCAGAATTTACATTATAGTTAAAAATATAAATTCAGAGCACAGGTTTCATGTTTAAATGCAAAATAAGGCAAATACACATATCTATCATATGACCCCAAACCAAACTACAGATAAAAAAAAAAACAGTGTCCAGTCAGAGGAAAGCAGTCAACTATCTTTATTATCTTGCTCATGAATAAAAGTAACTGTATTAATGTTTCCATAGCAACATCCAACATGAAGATTTCATCTCTTTGCTTGTCTACCAGTGTTCTTTTGAAGTTGCTGTTGTTGCTGTTATGCTAAGCTAACATGGCCACCTTACAGTCTCTAATACAGCAAAATCCCCAATATGTTCTTTTACACCTATCGGGGGGTGCTGTGTGCATGTTCATTTACCAACACTCTGTTGAAGTTTACTGTTTCCGTGACTTTTACTATTCCCTCTATAATGACGACACATCCCACACGATGTTCCTTCTAGTGACAGTGAGTCTACCATCCATCATGACGGAGTGACTGCAGTGTTTTCCACCTATTTCAATGTGATAATGTCACCTCTTTTGTCAGGAATTATGGTTCAGCAGTAACGGGGAGTTTCATTTGGAAGAGACAAACGTCTTTTTTAAATTTACACCACAGTCCCACTGTTGTGTTGCAGCAGAGCACACCTGAGCACACCTGTGTTAACTGCTTAGTTGGCATCGCTGTAGCCCACGGACTTGTTGTACTCTTGAATCTTCTGTTTGATGTGAGAAAGCTTGTTCTTTAGATACTCACACCTCTCTCTTTTTTCCAAATATGTTGGGTCCTAACAAGGAAAACAGAAATCAGTAAAATTGAGTACATTTCTTCACAAAGATTTCAGTAAACCACACAAGTATTAAGAAACCAGGCAGTACATTTTAACCCTAATGGTGACACACCATTTGAGGTCCCAAGTTGGGTTTTTCAGACTTGTGTTCGTTTGCTTGTCAAAATATGAAAACAGGATAGATAGTACAAGAAAGCTGCCATGATTAATCTGAGCTAGAGCTCCAAATCACTGTCATTGTTATGGCCTTCTATCCTACAAAAGCCATTACCCATCACCTGCTATACCACACTACAGTAAGGTGATTTGGCATCTGCATTTTTCTGATTCCTGTAGTAGGATTTGTATGTACAGCAAAAGAGAGACTTAGAAAACCAACTCATCTATCATCTGTGACAGTGGATGTGAAGTAAATTTAAACAATTTACTTGTGCTTTTTCACTAAAATAAAAGGGAAGAACACTTTTTAAACTTTTTTTTAAATGATTTATTTATTTTAAGGGGTACTGTGCACTGGGTTTGGATTTTCAGCAGGTATGACCCTTCTATGAGGAGTTTATATGTTTGCTTGTAGGTTTTATTTTTATTTTTTTTTTGTTTTCTTGTCAGGGAGGTGAGGATGCTCCTGTAATCAAAAACCATGTTAGGTTAATGCTGCGCAGTAAAGCCAAAGATTATTAACGTCTGGGGTTTCAGTTCCTTGACTAAAGTCCAAATAAAAATGACTTCCCTGCTCAGACTGTTGCATTCGCAACCCAAGCCCAGTGAAGTGACAGAAAATGGATGGATAAAAATAAAACAATAATGAAACAAATACTGGAAACTACAAAAATATGAGGCTAACACAAGAACGATATATAATGGTTAGTGAGACAAGTGTGACTCAGCTGAAAAACTGCATTTATTTTCCAAACAAATTCATATGTTGTAAATAGATTCTTCTGAGGTTTGATGAGAGTTTGGAGTTATGCACTCGAACAAGTGTCTGCTAGGTTTTTTGGTTTATCCAAACCTTTCTGTAAAACATCCCCCCCCAAATATATGAAAGCACAACAGAGTGTTAGTGGGGCAGCTCTTTGATCTAAGTATTATTAAAAATAATAACTGTTGTTAGCAGAGACATGAAGGGATATCTTTTATAGAAACAGTATCCCTTCCCTAAGACCCCAGTCTGACAGACAACAATTCATGATGTATACTCACAGCTTTCTTCCTCTGATACTCCATTAAAATACCATTTATCCGCTCCTCCTCCTGAAACAAAGCAAACGTGTTACTGGATGTAATGTTACAATGTGTGTGTCTGTCTATCTGCTCGCTAGCAAAATTACCATTTGGCTGGAGGGCCGGGATGGAAGGTTCGCCATCATTTCATCCATCTCTTCGAACTTCTTGGCCATGGCCTGGACCTCAGCATGCAGTTCTTTGTACTCAGCATACTGGTCATTGAACACAGCCTTGTACTGGTCCCTCTCCTCATCTGTGTAAATGCTGGGATACTTCCTGTAGAAACAGCAAAGGAAACAATATTTCTTGGAGCACTGGCAGCTGAATGTGTCTAACACAGGTGTTTAACTGGGATACCCTCCTTTATCTTATCTTACTTATCGTATTCTTGATCTTAAACTGCTAATAAAAATCAGATTTCTGAGGATGGTTTAGAAAATAGCTAGTTTGGTAAACTGGTAACTGAATAAACTACTTTCTAAACCATGTGTGCACCTTTAATTTTTGTCTTACTGACACCAAATCCATGAAAAGATCTAAGATCATAAAGGAACCAGTGAAAGCAGCTTAAATATGCACTCAAAAAATAATTGTTTTTGAAGGCTCAGTAATGTTCTACTAGAGCTGGTCAGAGGAGTTTTTAGCAAACTGCTATCAAGCACGAGTAATAATGTACTATTTGCAGTGTGGATTTAACCCACATTTAGAGGTGGGCTGTGTATTTAGGCCAGCAGGACACTGTGTGATGACACTTTCTGGATAACAATGGAGTTCAATGATAAAGGAATTAAATGTGTGGCAATACTTATTTTTGATTCTCCACAGGGCATTCTTTGACAGTGTAGCACATTAAATGCCAAAGACCAGCACTTCATAGTCCTACCCACACTGGGCCAGAAGGTCTATCTGATGTGTGTCGGTGTTGTTTCTGGATCATCATAATAATATTTGTCCAGGATCAACATCGCATCTGACCAAACATAGTTACGATGTCATAGCTTTGCGGATGTCCACTCAAGAAAAAAAAATCCAAAATGAGGGCTGTTAGGGCCAAGGTTAGGATGTGATTGTGGTGAGGGTTTGGTGTGTGATGTGATGGTGTTTCCACATCGCAAAGCTATGACATCACTACAGTATGACTAGTCACTTGCAATGCTGAAACCTGGACCAACATTAAATTTGTTGATCCAGTAACTGGACCGACAGGAGGACACCAGATGGTGTAAACAGAAACACGCGCAACAAGCTACACATGAACTGTATGCCACTTTGTGTGAGATGGGCCTAACATGAAAGTGTGACAAACAGTAGCACTGGTGAAATGGTTATTCAGCCTTTGTAGCAGTGAGTTTTCTAGAAGAGCCATAATTCACATAGTCTGTACTGGAGTGTTCACAAACTAAAAGAGGTCACACCATTCTGGGTGGTTTGGAGTTATGTATTTTTCATTTACAGACATAAGTGTGATACTGCTTTCCCAGAATACCAATGTACAAAAACACAGTGGTCATCATTGCACTGCTGGAGGTTTTATTTCTGTTAAAACACTTTAATTTAATTTAATTTAATTTATATAGCATCATATCCAATCAGCAGTCCCCTTGAGGCACTTTATAATGTAAGGTAA